CTTTGTGGTCCCTAATTGATGATAAGTATATTACAGCTCCTCAATTTCCCTCTCTCAAGACAAGGTTACTCTAAATTTAACAAAGTGATGGACTTGATAAAACTCAAACTATAACTCAGCTGGCTGCTACTTGCAACCTTAATTTCTTGATATCAGTATACAATAATCAATATGTTATAAATAAGAACCCTAATGCTTAATTTTGCAGTGATCACCTTCCTCCTTTTCATTTGCAGACCAGACTGGAACCTCAGTCTATAAGTGTGTTTGCTTGTTTTGAGTGGGGATGGAAGAAAAGGAGTCATGCCGCATAACTGATTTATTAAACCAGATTTGTTCTGTTTATACATGAGTAGAACTACCTTGTTCTCTGAAAGAAATAAAATTTCTTGCATTTTTATCTGTGTTTTGCAGTCAAACTTCCTTGTGTCTTGGACAAGATATCTTATTTTCTTGAAAACAAAATATTTGTTTCCAGCCTTCTGTAATAGGTAAATATAACAGTGTAAGACGAGTGACAGTGTATTTCTCAAGTTATTTTTTGGAATACGACAAAACGGAAGTGTCATAGTGTGATAAGGAGCCAATATATGATTGCTTGATAGAAAGCAAAAAATGCAGAATTGCATATATTTTCTCCTTTGTCAGCAGCATATGTTAGTGAAAAGTTCTTATAATTGTTAACTTCTAACCATCTTCAATTTAGCCAAGATTGAACTGTTATCACGTTGGTCATAAAAGTATTCTGAGATCAATGTCATATGACCCATTCATGTATTTGACCTTTCGAATTAGCAAGCCATAGTTGACAGTAACACAAAGGTTGAGGATAAAAAGAAATTATTATATACAGTACTTCTTCTGCATATTTTCGTTTCCTTTTCTCTCCAGCTGTTCTATCTATGCCGTGCTGGCAATTGAACACTTTCCTTCCCAAAATTAGGAAAGGCACACCAGTAAAAAACGAATTTTTGCTCCTTAAATATCTCGTGCATCTTCCCCGAGTATTTTGTGACTTCTGTCCGAGGAAGGAGGTGTAAGCATTAAGTTAACCCGAATGATTCCACAATTGTGGTATCATCCAAGCCATGCCAGAGGACTTGAACTAGATAAACTAGTGAGAATGCACAATAGCGATAGCAAAGCTTTGTAATGCCAAAGAGCTACATCAATATATATATATACACCGGTGTTCCCGAAACCTTTGACAGCTTTAGAGAAAGAAAACTTCGTCGTCAATCCTGTTTCAAATTCCGCAATAAGTTTATGCGCCTCATCAACAGAATTGACGTATCCTAAATTATCTGCATGTCTACCATCAAGCAATGGTTCGCGACTTAAAATTTTCGCTATGCTGTTTCTGTTTGTTCCTCAAGAATCATGGGATTTACAGCTTCGAATGTTCGGCTACATCACTTGCGGATTTCCGAGAATCTTCGGTTATGTTTTGCAAGTTATTAAATATTCCATCTCAGTCCCTCTCGACCGAGGTGGTTTTGGTGGATGGAATCTAATGCTGACCTTACATCACGGGCGACGAGTGGGGGATGAAGAAAAGACCGAAATACGAGTGGTCAGCGGGTAAACAAAGTTAATACTTCATATAGTCACATATCAGTTATAGTTGCGGAAAACAATAGTCTTCTAAAGCCGAAATGTCAACAGTATACTTCGCTAAATAAAATGTTAAGCAATTTTTCAAAAGTGATGATGGCGCATATATCTTTTACTGCTGTAATAAACAATGGAGGTATCGGAAAAGGCATCGGTGGCATCTGGAAAGACACCAAGAAGAATTATATTTACGTTTTGTAACTTGCTGCGTGACGAAAAAAGAAAACCAAAACCGTGGTCTCCAAATGAATTCTCCCACCTTGCCCCAAAAAATTTTCAAATTTTCCGCAACTTCACCAGTTCCTATTCGTAGGTCCGGCCAAGCCTATATGGTCATTGGCTCCCGTATAGCCACTAACTATGGCTTATAAATACAGTTATTTAGTGTTAAACTGTAAAACTCCCCGAAGAAGTCTACGACAGAATGAAGAATTAGATATATGAAAATTCATATATTTGCACTGCGGTGGAAAGATGACTACTGAAACTAGCGTCGGAGAATAACAAGCCAACTGGGAGCTGGTCAATGAATTGGGTACAAATAAACATCCAAACATCTACGACAGTTAAACGGAACGCGTCGGAGAATAAAGAAATTTTACAACTACCGTTCGCAGAGTGCTGCTAACCAGTTTAGTTTTAAAGATTTTTTTTAAAAATGTGGTGCGATAGCTGTGGTCAGTTTTTCCATGCAGGTTGTCCGGATGTACCTTTCGCAGAGACGTGGGGGGGCAGAGACACCAACACAACATTTCACCTGCCGTTCGCTTCGAAAGTTTTCATCCCGAGTTCATTTGTTAGATAAAAAAGAAAAAAAACACTTGGAACGGAAAACAGAATTATTTTAACGCCTGGGTCTTTTGAAAAAAGGTCTCCTAAACGAGTGGCCCTGATTATAAATATTTAAGCATGGTAAATACATTAGCCTTAACTTGGCTGTTTCTCGAAGCTCAGTGTTTTCCTACATGCCTTTTTCACGTGAAACGAGGCGATTGAATATATATAATAAACACTAAAAGAACTACAGCAGATGGAAATTTAAAATTTCTTATCTAAAGGCTGTGGATACAAACTTATTAATGACTCTAAAAATATAAAAATCTAGAACAAAATTTTTTTAGAGTTGCTTAGCTTTTTATTTTTCCGGAATCGAAAGTCGAGATTGCAAAATTCAAGTGAAAAGCAAACCGACTGTGATTAATGCCTTAAACAAGTCAAGATACTGTTTTTCGTCATACAACAAGTTACATATGGTAAATATCATTCTTCTTGATGCCTTTTCCGGTGTCACCGATGCCTTTCCCGATGCCTCTGTTGGTTAATATAGCAGTAAAAATATTGTTCCAGTCAAAGCGTTCGGAAAATTGCTTAACTTTTGAATCACCGAAGTATAACCTGGTAACATTTTGGCTTTACAACACGATTGTTTTTTGCAAGTTACAAAACGTAAATATAATTTTTCTTAGTGCCTTTCCAAATGCAACCGATGCCTTTCCCGATACCTGCATTGTTTAATATAGCAGTAAAAGATATATGTGCCATCAACACTTTTGAAAAATTGTTTCACATTTTATTGAGCGAAGTATACTGTTCACATTTCGGCTTTACAACACTATTGCTTTCTGCAACTACAACTGATATGTCTCCATATGAAGTATTAAATTTGTTTTCCCGCTGACCACTTGTATTTCGGTCATTTCTTCCTGCCCCGCTCGTCGCCCGTGATGTAGTAACTCCCATTCCAGTGTAGTGGACAAGCGACTAAATACAGGAATGGCTCCGACCTGTGATTGGATGATAAAAATAGTAAAAGTTCATAAGTTATATCTTAACTCCTTGCACGTGAGTATTGTTAACCGCGTGTACCGAAGCGGAACAATGAAATATCGATGCGAAAACACCGACGTGTCAAACAAGAAATGGCTACTTACATAAAGAAGATAAGGTAGAGTCTATCTTCTTCAGCTAGATCGTTCAGCGATATTCCGGCGATGAAAAAGTCATCCGCTGCCAATTTCCGCTGACAAAACTAATTTAGTCTGTCTAGACGGACGACCAGAGACTGGAGCCATTCCTGTATTTCACCGCTGACAGGAATGGCTCCAACTCATGCGTATATTAATTTTTGGTTCTGGCTAAATAATTTATATACAGATAAAAAGTGAAAGAGCTATTTATTAGGTTCTTCTTATGTTGAAGTCTACAGTGCTTGCAAATGAAGCCCTCTTTTATTTCTACTGGGCCATGTAGTTTCTAAGTTTTAAAATAATGCAGCAACTGCATACCATGTTTGAAAGATCACGCAAGGTTGCGTGACGCTGCCACCGATGTTTTTAATTTACAGTATGCTCTACTGGAGAAGTATGGCTTGCCCGCAATCGAGGGAATTTTTTTCGTGGAAACGGATTTTCTAGGTAATTGTTCACATGAAGGACAAACCCATTCATCGGGTTCTTGATCTATTTTTGCACAACACCCAAAGGAAGAAAGTCGCGGATCAATTTTGCTTGGTAATTTCTAACAATTCCACTAGACCTAAAAAAGGAAAAAAACAAAACAAACAAAAAAAAGTGTCTTACCAGTTAAACCAGTTGCAGTAGCACTGAATCATATCGAAGTACCTTGACTGTTTGCAGTGATGGCACAACCAATCTTCGAACAGTTTTTGGCTATAACAAGAAAGAGTAAAATGATTTTATAAAACATGTTCCAAAATTAATGAAGGCTGTTCATCACATGACATAGTATTGGAACGAGTATATCTCATTAGTTATCGTATCACACTACTGTTTTAGACAAGGTATTTATACCACTTAAATTTAAGAAAGAATGAGTGGACCATAAACTACATTTTTTGTACGAGCCATCCTAACCTAATTTGCCAACTGCTTTCCAGGCATCATCTGTAAAAAAACCTCTTCAATTTTTCAAATTTGAAAATTTTCAGCTAAAACCGCGGCTCCCAAAAAATATTTCTCATCTTGCCTAATAAATTTTCAAAAGAAATTTTCAAATTTTCACAACTTTGCCTATTCCTACTCGTAGGTCCAGGTAAGCCCTTATGGTCACTGGTCATAGCTGCTAACAATGGTTTATAACTATACGCGTTTAGTGTTACCTCGTAAAACTCCCCGAAGAAGTTACGAGAGTTAGACGAAACGCGTCAGAGAATAAAGAAGTTTTACAACTACTGTTCGTACAGCACTGCTCACCATTTTAGTTTTAAATTTTTAAAAATTTTTTTTAAAAATTACTAAAAAGTTATTGAAAAAAAATTAATAAACGTTTGAGTCGGAGCTATTCCTGTCAGCGGTGAAATACAGGAATGGCTCCAGTCTCTGGTCGTCCGCCTGAACTGACCAAATGAGTTTTGTCAGCGGAGCTTGTTAGCCGATGACTTTTTCATCGCTGGAATATCGCTGAACGACCTCGCTGAATAAGAAAGGCTGCCTTCCCTTCGCTACGTAAGTAATCATTTCTTTTTTTACAGATCGGTGTTTTCACTCGCATTGATATTTCATTGTTCCGCTTTGAGACACGCGGTTAACAATACTCACGGGCAAAGAGTTAAGATATAACTTATTAACTTTTACTATTTTTATCATCCAATTACAGGTCGGAGCCATTACTGTATTTAGTCGCTTGTTTCCAGTGGTACCATTTGCGATTTTCCAACAGTCAAACGACCTGATTGAACCAGACATGAACATTATAACATGCTTTACATGTGAAGAATACATTTTTGAGTGTAAATCAAGGAGATTTTGGAAAATTTTATTTGGCTGTTTCCTTCACCCTCGTCGATCTTAAGTTTCTTGTTCAGTAGAGTTTTAGCTTTACACTCAAGCCGCTAAGACCTTCGCTTGCAAAGGTTAAAAAAAACTTATGGATAGTATCGCCACTATAGTTCCCTTTTCATAGTGCTACTGGTTAGAAAGATCCCCTGTACTCCAAATAAGTCTTACACTCCCTTGAATCACTTTTTCCAAGAATACGTTTCCATTTATTTTTTTATCTGGTCTTGTACCTCTAGCTGGTAGGATCTTAACAGGCTCAGAAAATACTACCGGCTAGAGGTACAGCTTGCATATTTAGTCAACTTAGCCCAATTGCGGTTTGCTTCTCATTTTACTTCTCTTTACTCCACATTTTACTTTTCTGCACTCCAAATTTTCCAGTCCTTGAAATAATTTTTTTAAAGAATACATTTAAATTTTTGTTATTTGGTCATGTACCTCTAGCTGGTAGGATCTCAGAGGGCTTTTAGAAAAGACTTTTAGCTAGAAGTACAGCTTGCATATTTAGTCAACTTTGCCACATTTTTACTGTGGTTTGCTCCACATTTTACTTTACTGCACTCCAAAGTAGTCTTACACTCCTTGGAATCATTTTTTTCATGAATACATTTACATTTTGTCCTGTCTTAATTAGCCTTAAACCTCTACCTGGTAGGATCTTAGGAGGCTTAGGAAATACTTGAAGTACAGCTTGCATATTTAATTGACTTTGCCCAATTTTTATTACAGTCTGCTTTGCATTTTACTTTTTGGCATTCTATTTTAGTCTTATACTACTTTGGAATTACTTTTTTAAAGAATATCCTCTTGTTCCTTGGTTGTGTACCTTCCACTGCTTATTTGATGGCACAGCACACAAGCTAGGAGCATCAAATGACTCTTTAAGGGGAATCAGTTGAAACTAAAGCAGGCATTATCAAGCAATGAGTAAAGGGTCTCTGATGGGTGTGCAAATAAAGAAGGTTTGATTTCTTTTTAATAATAGCTATTTTTATTAAAAAATACAATAAATAACACAAGCATAGGTTAATCTTATTTATTTAATAGTATAAATTCTATACATATAGTAGATGACCATATTTTGCCTTAAGGTTTTCATACAGTGATACATGCTGTTAAATATCATTTAAAATACAGAGAAAAAATGTCAATTTGGTGAATTAAAATCATGTTACCCTATGACTACCTAAAGATGACTTGATTTAAGTATTTCAGACAATGGTTGGCCTTGTCAGCAATACCTCTAATCAAACACAAACATGAAAATTGAGACTGTTCCTTTCTATGAAATTCCACTCATACTTATGCAGAGTATTACATGACAAACTTAAGTAAATCTGGTTAACATGTTCAAGTCTTAAATTAATTTCAAGTCAAATTAATTTAAAGCTGGCTATATTTGTATTGAAATAGATCCACAACCAAAGGAAATACAAATCTGACTAGTTTAAAATGTTTTTAACTTGAAATTCATTTAAAACAGCAAAGTTAATGATTTCAAGCTTACTTCACACACGTAAGCTGTCCCTCTGGTTGGTGGTGTTTTCTGAGTAAGATCCTACTAGCCAGATGAACAAGGCTGCAAAGACAGAGGCTTGTTTTGGGACCAGACAGTTTATTAAATGTATATGTCCCATGCAAAAAACACACTAGACTTCGACTAGACTATTACATATCTAAGATATTAGACAAATACACTAAACCAACGGTCCAATAATCAAGAATAAATTACAAACATGAATGAGATTAAGATACAATCAAAACTGTCAATGGTGTGGGTGGGAGGGAAACTAAAACTTTCTTAAAGCTAGAAATGGGTACATGTGTTTCTTGCATTTTAAGTGCTTGTGTTTGAGACCAATTATGGCTGAGAAAAGGCCTATTGTTGCATTACACAACGTTAACTAATTGTGAGTGTTATATGATAAATGTACTATCTTGATCATTGAACGAAGGACAGTTGAATTGGAGCAATGAAAGGAGTCACTTGACCAAAGAATGACTCTACACTGCACAGGACGACACGCCGAGTAAACCACAGGTAGCCCAAGCTCCAGCTATGAGATGATCATCTTGCGAAATAAGAGTCATGGCGAAATTACAAGAATTTGTATGAGAATATTTACGGCGGCCCTTAGGAATAAAAAATACGGTCAAATTCTCAATAAAAATACTTCACCTTACCTCCACGGTGCATCGCTTGCTATCTGACCGCTTACTATGTTGAAAAGAACCCATTTTGGCGAGGTTTACTACGTACATAAGAAAAGCCCTGTACGTAGTAAACCTAGAGAGGGGACTGGAGATGGTTAACGCGCCAAAATGGGTTCTTTTTAGAACGGTCAGATAGCAAGTGATGCACTTGATTTGGAGATTCGGACCCCCTAAGAAACTTTCCCTTTAAGCATCGTTTGTCTCATATTTGGTAATTAATTCTATTCGCAAGCTTTTCGTCGATGTTTTTTTCAATCACAACACAACATTCCTCAATAAAGGTAAAGAAAAACAGCCATTTCTTTCCAATTCTGCCGCATTTATTATAGCAAGTCGCACGGTGTACGCAAGAATTAGGTGCGAACAAACTACTGCATTCAGTTTCATTTGTTTTCAAATCACATTCGCCTCGACAGTCTGAAAGTATCTTGCGAATGCTTCTTCAGAGAGTTCGAAGCACCCGTTTAATAATCGAGTGTAAATTGGGGCTGACAAGCGTACACGACTTTCGTAGTACGTCAAGTTTTCTGTATATTTGTTTCAAGTGTTAAAGGTTCACACGGCTCCAAAGGATGTCGGTTTTCTTGCCTTCGTTATAATTTTGCTCTTACGAGTATGTCTTTGAGTGGACGCCCCTTTCTGTATGATACTTTACTTCCTTCCAGAGCGGGCGGTGTCTGGTATCGAGAGGTTGAAATCTTTTTAAACTTCTGCAGAGAATTTTAATGTTAGAAGAAGTCTTCCATGCGCCGGGAAGGCCGCCCTGACCTCTTCCTACCCAAATTTTGGTTAGAGCCTCTTCTTCCTCCCAGTCAAGATAGCATTCTTGATTTTCTTCAGTTTCATTTGTTTCCAAATCACATTCACCTCGGCATTCTGAAAGGAGCTGGAAAAATCTTTCTTCAGTTAGCTCTTAACGACCGTTGAATAATTGTATCGAATCTTTATCAATTTCACAAATAACGTCACTTTTCTGGCATTTTGCTTCTTCGCTAGATGTTTCGAAGAGAAAAGAACTTTTATCTATGATGACATATTTAGTGCCAAAGAAATCATTTGCGTCTATCGTACGTGAAATGAAGATGGAGAAAAAGTCAGATTTGCATTTGATTACGTAAATTTCAGTATATGATGACTGATACGTATTGTGATCATGTCCAGGCAAGGGTACGGGCTCTATAGCTATTGCCTGGTGGATGCATCGGTGTATCTGCCTCCTTTTCAGAACTCACAGCCTTAAAAGCTCCTGTATTGATGTGAGAGCTTGTTCCTCGGTGCTGTCGTTTGCATCCGCCGAGGTGTACATATAGAAGGGGAGAGTGCCAGCCTTGTCTTTCGTGAAAGAATTTCGCACGGACTGTTGCCTGACCCCTCGTTCAAATTAATTTCTCCAATCGTTAAGGCGTTTGATGTCCTCCTTATTCAGGAACGTAGTTGGCTCTTATGGCACCGGGAGCAAGTCTTCGTACTTTATTGAAAACTGTGATGGTAGCTCATAGTGTTGTTTCTCCCGAGCGAAGCAAATATATCCAGGCCGAGCAATTCTCTTTACGGTCTCATCTGCTGCCTCGGCGATGTTCATCGCACCTCCAGCACAGTGGGTGTGTTTGTCACCTGTTGCATTTCACCATTGAAATACTTGTTAACGAGTGTAAGAAATGTTCTTACATCAACAACTTCGAGCAGATGAGGACATTCTTTACTTAGTTGTGTTCGGAGGCGATGAAGGAAGTTCTTGATGAAAGTTACTGAGGCGACCGTCTTCTCAGCTAGGGTTCCCTGAGGCCTTTGCATCGTTCCAGAAACTTTAAACTTGGCCTTGGCGTTTTGAAGTATCTGCATTAGGGTTTTTCCGCTTTCTCAATGCGTTGCTCGGCTTTTAAGAGAGATGGCAACTCGGCATGACCTAGAATATCAGAATGAATATGGAAGGCACGATAAATGTCTTCCATTACTCTGACATACTTTATCAAAGCCGATATCTTGGTAATAAGCCTGACACTTTTGCTGCTTGTGTCAACGAAAAATATTGTTCCTTTCTCAGAAATCATCCCTGTTGGGTGGAACACTCTTGCTACATCGATGAACCCGTCCTCTGCTCCACTCGTACCATCACCAATGATTGTGTCCACTTTCTCGACTTCTTTCTTTCCATCTAAGACAGATGCTTCAAGAGAAAACTGTTCCAACGTGTGTGATGTGGTATCTGTGAAAATGACTGAATGACAATTCAAACTCACTCCGTGAATTTGGCTGCACAAGGTACTTCCGTTTATAGGTTTAGAACGACCAGGCCCCAAATGTCCCGTAATCAGCAAGCAACAGCTTCTGCTGGCCCTCAACGACACACAGTCCAGTCGGATTGACGTTCTCCTTTAGGTTCATGACCGTTCGCACATTGCACTCTAGCTTAAAGTCAGCCCTCTCTACTCTTACTTCTGCTAGTTTCTTGTTCCCAGTGTCAGCAATGAAAAGAATCATCAGCACAGCTGGTCGTTGCCACCGGTGTTTTCAAGCATGGTTCCAGATCCAGCTTTGTTCTCTTGCTGGTCACACTTTTTCTAGTTACTCTGTAGAAAAACAGTTATGGCAGATTTCAACTCTTCTCAGCTATAGTGTTGGCCATGTTCGTAATCAACGTGTACTTCATGTCTGGCGACAAATGCTTCCATCTCTGCCTTTTTCATTGCCCCAATCTTAACTTACAACTTGGAATGCAGGTCTAGGCAGTAAACATATCCCCATCCTCTCGGCAACAATGACAGTTCCGTGAACCATTGCCACTGCCATAGGATTGGTGTAACCAGTTGCTGCTACTTTCACTAACGCTGGGTAATGAAGACGAACTTCAGCAAGCGTTCCTTTCTGGCTATCAACAACATACAATTTACTCATGTCCTCTGTGTCTTTCATCAGGTCGACTGGAAGTTTCTGTCAGTAGAGGGCTTTTTCAATTAAAAATAATGGCGTGCGATTGATTAAAATGGCGTGCTTGATAACCTTTCACAAGAGTACACAAGAAGTTTTGGACCGGCGTGTGAAATCTGATATTTTTGCACAAGCCATCCCTTAGTGCCAATTTTGTGACGTTTCTGTACCTCATTTTTGAGAAACCATTTTGTCTCTTGTGAGTGTGAGGTTTCATTCTTTGCATTTATTGCCTATATCTTTTCATATCTACAACATCAGTACACGTTTGATTTCTGCTATGTTGTACTATGTTGCACTCCTTTGCATTAGTTGTCCAGATTGTGCAATGTTAATCATTGACTGAATTTTCTGTATTCATTTGACAGCGCTTCACCAGTACCAAATACACAGGTGGTGATTCCTCTCCCAAATCGTCCCACTTCAAAAGTTGAAAAATGTGGCGATCTTTTGCTTGAGAGAATTTTGGGAACTGCGAATATGTTAAATTACCGTGTATAATACAGTCAGCACAGGAAATCATACCTATCGTGTAGTTCGTAATCTTTTGCTATCATTTTGTCTTTGTTGTCTATAAATTCCAATCTGATGGCTTGCCATACTGTTTGACTCCCTATCCTAATGGGAAGTGCCTTAGCCTTGTCCAAAATAAAAATTGCGTCGAAACGTGAACCACTCCGCACTCTTCAGCGCACCCACTGGAGCAGCATCTGAAATAACACCCTAACAATTACGAAGAGGTCCTCTAGACCTCTGTTTTCAGACAGGTCATCTCCAGCTGCCAGTTCGTATGCATTGGCGATACGCATGTTTTGAATTAAAAACATACTGCATTGCTTTGAAACAAGTTTGCACCACGAGGCAAAATCTTCAGTAATTTGGGATGTGCAATCGAACGGAGCGAGCTCCCAAGAAGGTCTTCCATGAACGGATTTTTCGTGGCCACAACGAAAAATACTGAGGCCGATCAACATAGTCTTTGACGACATTTGACCTAAATGACCATGAATCGCTTTCTTTGCTGGAGATTTTCGACAGCTACATCTTACCAGACACTGAAGTATAAGTGTACATGTCTCGTGTGTCATGCTATCTCATGACCTATGACGTAATAAATTGAAGGGAATTTCAAATTCACCGCGAGTAATGCTGTTTTTCAAGCCCGAGTCTTGCTTCCAAAATTTTCTTTTAAGCATCGGCGGATGTTAAATGGAAATTTCAAAACCTTGCTTGATAAGTGTTTTGACTGAATAATACCCAGTAATATACAACAAACTATCGCCTTATTTATTTCTTCTCCCGCTTCCCGCCTCCTGTTCTCCAGCTTCCCTCCCTCTCCCGCCCCTGTTCTCCCGGGCTCCCGCCCCCCTGTCCCCCTCCACTATTAACTGTTGAGGGATCTGAAATAACACCCTAACAATTACGAAGACCTCTAGACCTCTAGGTCCTCTAGACCTCTGTTTTCAGACAGGTCATCTCCAGCTGCCAGTTCGTATGCATTGGCAATACGCATGTTTTGAATTAAAAACATACTTCAGTACGCACTGAAACGCAAAGTAGTATCTATTTCTACGAGAACGTTAAGGATGATGTTTTCACTCAGTTCTGTCGGGGAGTCCATATTCATTGGTGGATTTGGACCGGGGGGTCCAAATCCACTAGGACAGCGAGCAAGCGAGAGGCAGTCGATCGTTAAAAGGTTTCGATAGGCTTGTGTGACTCCTGTCATTCGCTTGCGCTTTGAAATCTTCTGACCTGAAAGCTTAGATTTTATTAGGATATCTTTTAATGACTTTCGTTTGTGATGTGATAGTAAGGGTTAGTTTTAAGGTGTTATTTCCCTGTCTGAATGTTCTTGAGGTTTGGCAAAGCTGGATGAGATTGTGTTACAGAAGTTAATATTTTCATGTGTATTTTCTTGTTTTAAAGTATACTGTCTCTCCCCCAGAATGTTACTCCAGAGATACGTTTCTCAAAACCTTATTCTAGGTATCCTTTATTCTTTAAGCATATTTTAAACTCTGTACGTTTTTTTATTAACGTGGAGCGTGACGAATTTGGTCTTAAGAGGCGTAAGGGCTTCTCCTTTCGCGAATCCCGTATTTACGCATTTAAAGTGTATTACATGAGATAAAGTTCGTGCATTAGAAGGTGGCTGTCTCTTTGTAATGCATTTGCATGTCAAGGGTCGAATACCCGTTAAATAACTCGCGAATTTAAATTATTCACACGGCCATCGGCTAAGAGTGTAACTACTGCTAAATGAAGATTCTTAAGCAAGGCTGCAGTTTCGATTATTTCTGAATCTCTCCAGTTGCCTCCTAACAACGAATTCGCCAAGGAGAAATAACAGGAGTCGCACAGGCCCGCAAACACTTTTTAACTCTCGAAGGAGCGGCAACAGACAGTGAATCCCCATTACATTCCATGTTTATTTATTCACACTAACTTGCTGCTACCAGAGATATCCAAATGAACTTACTTCTCGTTTAACGACCATGATGCAACGCTACCGGTGGCGCTACGAACGGTATGTTTTTCGTGTTCACTATATGAAGAATCTTACTCTTCCAGCTAAGTCCGCAAAGAGATGTTGTAAACGCGCCTGCAGTTCAGAGTGTCCCATCCGGGAACTGATAGAGAGCAAACCATTATATCTAGAAGAAAGACTATAGGTCTATTTTGGGACTTTCCCATCAATTTTCCTATTTTAGTCGAAAAAGTAAGTCCGTTGAAGTTGAAGTGATGAATAGTAATCCACTACTTTTCTCTCTGGAATGCAACCTCTCCCCCTCCCCGACAGGGATCGCTTTCCTAACTTTCGCTGGCATTTGATATTAACCATGTGCGTTTCAGTCATCTGTGAGTCACAGTGTCAACTGAAGTGATTGAATTTTTCATTTAAAAATCAATATTTGTATTGGTCGTGACACTTCTTTTACAGAAAATCAACACAGAAGGCACAGGGAATAGACAATCACATTTGTAACACCAAAATGGCCTTGGAAAACGTAATGAAGCGGATCAAGAGAGCTTTCACTAGCGTCTCTGTGATCACATACGTACTAGTGGTAATTTTTGGTACAGGCTCGTGGATAGCGGTGAATGGACTTTGGGTCGAATTACCCATCATTGTCCAAGAAATTCCTGAAAGCTGGTCTCTCCCATCCTACCTGACTGTTATAATCCAAATGGCAAACATAGCTCCGTTGGCTTTTACCCTTGGAAACAAGTTCTTCCCTCGTGTGGTCCACGAGATTCCCGTCATTTATGTCAGCTTGGGAATTGGCGCGGCGTCCTGTGTTTTGTTGGCATTTTTTTGGAAGGAAACGTCTTACATCGCCGGAGCTGAACGAAGCACTACACTCTTAGCATTGTGTTTCTTTCTTTCCATGGTTGATTGTACCTCGTCTGTTACGTTCCTACCATACATGGCAATCTTTCGAGAGGTTTACATGAGCCCATATTTCGGAGGTGAAGGACTGAGTGGTCTTTTGCCGAGCCTAGTGGCATTAGGACAGGGCGTGGGAGGAGGCACCCATACCTCTTGTACCACTGAGAGCCCTACACAGGCTCCTCTGAATGCCACTAATGGAACTTCAGCCAACAATACCGACCCTGGTGGCAGGGGACCTGGTCCAAACTTCCCTGCAGAGGGGTTTTTCTGGTTCCTGGCTGGGATGATGTTAGCTTCTGGGTTGGCCTTTCTAGGGTTGAATTACCTTCCTTTAGCAAAACGACAGCAAGTGAAGAAGAACTATGATGAAAATGGCCAAGAGGCTCAGAGTAATGACCAAACCATCGAACTTGTTGCAGACGATGAGCAAAAGGACAGCAGGCAAAATTCCCATGACAATGAAGATCATGCAGTGGAAAGTTTGTCAACAAGAGGCACTGTGTTCCTCTTGGTGATTTTAGCATTAGTCAGTGGCCTGAGTAATGGTGTGATACCTGCCATCCAGTCATATGCCTGTATTCCTTACAGCTACTACATCTATCATTTGACCCTCACCCTGTCCAACATTGCCAATCCAGTCACCTGTTTTGTGTTTCCATTTATCCGCACTACCTCAACAGTGATCATAGCAGTGCTGAGTTGTATCTATTTTGGAATGTGTACGTACATTCTCATCGTGGCATCACAGAGTCCAAATGTGCTACTACGCTGTGGAGATTCTGGGGCTGCCTTGATAGTGAGTACATAATATATTGTTTCAGTGTTAAGTTAGATTTATTCACTACAATCAAACCTGCATTTAGCAGCACCATACTAAGTGGTCACCATGTATTATGCAGTCAGTTTTCAAAGTTGCAAAATTTTTTCCCCATAAACACTGTAACTTTTACTTTTATTAAGCAGTCACCTCTATGGAATGGTCATGGTCACCCTTTCTGAGCCCCAACAGCCTGTTTGTATTTTCCTCCAACTGTTTTCAACAGTCACTTAAAATTGAATCTCTCAAATAAAACTTAGAATAATCTTTCAAGTAAAATTTGAGCCATGTTTATCTCCCAGAGTAATGTATATTTGTTCATTAAGTGGTCAATTATGGCATAAAACTGTGGTTTAATTATTTTTTCTATGGTAGCAATCTTAGTGTGAAATTTGTGTTTCTGGGGCACATGTGGCATTTTAAAATCCATTCTGTTTTCAAATTATTTTTGATCGAATATTTGAGAAAAAGGACAGTGAATAAGAGATCCAAACCAACTTTTTGGCTTTGAAATTATGTTCCTGAACTGGCAAATATTCAGGCACAAAATGTCTGTATGTGTCTTGGTTGCCTAGTGACCTCTGAGTGCCTGGCTTTAATGTGTTTTCTTTTTATTTGTAATACCAATATCTCCTACTTAAATACTTTACACAATGGCAATTGGAGTTAAAATCTTAAACACTATGATAAACTGTGCATCACACATTTAAATTTGATAGTGTAAAAGACTGAGCCTTAATTGTTTCTTACTATAGGGAAATAGTATTTAATTAACACATTTAAAGGTTATTATGTCAAGGCTTACACTGATTTATTCATTTTATTTACACATTTTGTTCTTTTTCTTTGGAAGGTTTTCATCAGCGTTAGTGCTGTTGCTGTGGTAACATATGTCAAGGTTGCTATTGGAGGAATCATGCGTGAGAAAGGTCGTAAGCACCTCTTGTGGTATGGTGTTAGTGTTCAAGCTGGGTCTTGTGCTGGTGCTCTGGCAATCTTCGCTCCCGTAAATGTTTTCCATTTCTTTAAGCAAGCATGAGATGTACTGAACGAAAATAGATGCATGTTTTCTCCAAGAAATTAATATATCAGACATTAAAAGTAAAAGATTTCTTTTCACCTAAAGCAATCTTATGACAATTCTTCAAATTGTTCCTTGTGTTTCTGTACACTTCATCGATTTTTAGTGTTTAACAGGTTTTGGATGCTTCTTTTTGTGTTGTTGTTATTGTTTTCTTTTCAATGCATTACAGCTATTCGCAGGCCTCAATGCCATAAAAATTTTGGTTGTGATGGGATACACAGAAAAAAATTTAAAGTTTTGTGGTCTAAATTGCTCAGTACTCAGGTAACAAGTTGTAACATATTAATATTCGAGTGTTAAAATGTCCAAAGAGAAGATGCCATAAAATTTTGTGTAACTTTGCTTAAAATTTTATTTCCTTTATTTTGTTTCTTGCTTCTTTTTTAAACAACTGAATGTTAATTCCAGTGACCAGTTTATGATTTTAGGTAGCCTGATGGTGACTGGAGCTTTGAGCCACAATTAATGTAGAGAAAACTAAGATAAATTTAAGTTATTAGGTTAAAACAAGAATCCACCTAATTCTTGTCATTAATAAACCAATTTCAAAATTGCATTCCTGTTATGTAGATGTTAAATTCTAACCTAATTATATTTATAAGAAAGTTGTAAGTTTTAAGGAGCTCTTTCACTGCTTATGGGGAAAGATAAGTTGTTTGTCAGGTGAATTGTTGCATTCTTATTGTTGTGATCCTACTAAGGGTGAGAAAAATTGAAGAGCAATTTAAACATTCCCAGTTTGGATGGATGTAGTCATATTTATGGCTGTTGTCAACGAGAATTCATAATTGTTTTATCATCCCCAAACCACCTTCAGAGATTTACAGTTATTGTACTTGGTATTTTTTCGAAAACCACAATTTCAAAGTTTTGCAGTAAGTGTACAGCCTGGCATCCTGTGTCACCCACCTTTCCTTGACTAAAACATTGCTATATCCATGATGTTTTCTTGGGGAAAGCCCCTTTACTTGCAGTGTGCTTTTGTCCACCCAAGAGTATATGATTGCTAGAGAAGCATGTTAACCAAGCAATGGATTGGCATTGTGTCAAATGTGGGGGGTGGGGGGGGGGGCATATTACTTGTCCCCCTAAGCAACTGGATCCTGGACAAGCTCTGGTAGAGTGGGGCAGTTTGCTGCTAATCTGACCTTACCTCTCTGTATACATGACAGGGAGTTTCTGGGATTCCTCCCGGTATATGAGTGAACTAACTGTTTCTGAGAGGGTTCACTGGGAAAAATATTAGGTAGGGTTGTGTCCAAAAAGCCTGAGAATCCTGTTTAGAGAAAAATCAATTCATTTTGCTAACTTGTTCAAAACAAACAATTGTTACAGATTCTGTCCTGTTAATTCCCCCAACACCCCCCCCCCCCCCCCCCCCAGGCATGTCCAGCATAGTCTAATAGAATATTTTGAATTGGAATTGAACAATCAATAATAAACATATAAGTCGTGTATTACCGACGTTCTTACCATAGTACATGACGCCTTTGACCCAATATCGGACATTAAAAGTAAAAGATTTCTTTTCACCTAAAGCAATCTTATGACAATTCTTCAAATTGTTCCTTGTGTTTCTGTACACTTCATCGATTTTTAGAGTTTAACAGGTTTTGGATGCTTCTTTTTGTGTTGTTGTTGTTGTTTTCTTTTCAATGCATTACAGCTATTCGCAGGCCTCGATACAATGACAATAGTAAATATGTCTTCCATACTTAGGACTTGAGACCTTGAAGGCCCATACTACATTTGGCGGCATTTAGGGAGCACCTCACCTCCTGTATTTGTCATGCCTATCAATCACTAATGAAGAAATTATTGGCATGACAGAAGTTATTTTATCACCAGAATTTCTTGGAAACAATTCTGGTAACTTTGACTATGGTACTCTATATAGGGAAATGTCCCTTTACCCAAACCTTCAAGAAAAGTCTCGTATTAATCCGGTTTGTATGCTTCTCGGAGAATCAACTCGTTATTCAAAAACACGATTTCCAGGGTCCTCCTAGCGTGGTAATATAAAAGACTTGGATTCATTTTTTAGCTCTGAATTTTAATAGAAACAAGATCAGTTCTACAGCTAATGCAGGCACACTTATAATTGAAACAATGTATTCACAGCAGAGAATACTATTTCAGATAAAGGTATTATTAACTTCTCTGGGGACTTGAAAGAGAGAAGTCTGGATACCCGTGCTCATGTCATCCAATGCAGCACGAGTCAGAAAATATTTCCAAATCCAAGAGCTCTTCACTTGTTCGTTGCTGGATTAAGATGGTGGCTTGGCGAGCGTTTGTACGTAGACATTATCGCTCAAAAGAATGTAGTCTCCCAGGTTACAAATGAATTGTATTGCACTGAGTCTTCCTAAAACCTTTTTTATCTACTTTGAATTTGTTGATTGGCCGACGCGTGATAGTTAGATTCATTTCTTTCTGTAATATACGAGTGAATAATTGCTTATAATCGCACATTATTATTTGCTTTGAAATCCAAGCTGTCTTACCAATTTTAGAGGATCTCAGAATACTCCTGCTGCACTTAAAGCAAAAAAGCTATCCTATTAAAGAGTCTACTTAAGCTGAGTAGTACAATAATCTAAAAAGTCTAAAAAAAATTGAAAATTCTGGAAGACTTTACAATAGCTTCCCTTGAAATAAAACTCGCCAGTTTAAGTTTTTTCTTCTTAGAAGCTTTCACGTAAGATTTTTAACCTATCTATAGAACTTCGATTCACTTAACCAACGGAGAGTCTGAACCGTAAATCCTTTGGTAAGGAGCAAAGAGCTTCAATGACTTTACGTCACAGCCTTCAGAGTCTTCACTGACTCATTCTCACCAGTTGACAAAGAAACCTGATTTGAAACCCCAACTTGACTTCTACCAGCCTGAGAGAAAGTGACCATTCTTATTCCTTTAATGAAATTTAAAAAAAAAAAGAAAAAGAAAAGAAAACTTCTCTCACGTCGCCTTTGCAGAGTTTCTAAACAACGAAATGAATTCTCTTCCTTAATAGCGGCGAGAATCTAATTTGTGACCTTTAGATGCTGTATGCCATGCTGGTTAAAAAACATGCGGTAACATCTATGCATAAAATTGTCCTTTAAATCTTTGGAGACCTGGAGCACAAGACAAAGCTCTCTTCACGTTCCAGGCTATACAGTGTTTTTACGGGAATACTTTCACTCTTGTTTAAAGTAATGGTAGATGTTTACGGGAGCAAACATGGCTAATGCTCCCACACATGAACCAATCTGTTCACTTACGCCATACCACAACAAATGCCTGCGTCCTTTCTCTCGCATTATTCCTCCAATAGCAACTTTGATGTAAGTTACCACAGAAACTGCACTGACACTGATGAAGACCTTAAAAAAAAGGAGATACATATTCATTGGTCGTCAAAAAATTTAAAATATAACTTGAGCCTTTGTCAGTCACTTTTTATTTGTGTTCTAAATTAGCATTTTGGTACTCAGTGTACGACCAATGTAACGGTAGTGACTCATCATCAGCGAATAGTAGGGTTTTCGAGCTCAGTCACAGCTGAATACGTGAAAGACAAAACAGGTGCATAGCAAAAACTCGATTGTCTTTGTATCGTTTGAAATTGCAACTTTTTAGATCGCTCAGCTGGACTACTAGTGAAACAGGTCATTTAGAACGAAGCGGCATGTAAATGTAACCTCACATCCCAAAATATTTTTGCAATAATTGGTCCAGATGTTTTCTTTGCAGATCGAGCCATAATCGCCGGCATGTTGACTCAATTCTATTCTATTGTTCCGGAGTGTAATACGATATACCGCTGATAATTGTTAGCGGGCTCGAAATGTCCTTTATTTCTGGCGATGTTTCTCTCCCTGGGGCTCCTCGAGGAAAACTCACGCAACGATAATTGCGAATCAGCAAAGGCAAATAAAAGAAGCTGCCGCAAAACTGGTCTTGTTAAATGTCATTCACTGCTTTCAACATGTCAAATGTAGGCCATTTAGCGAAAGCTTAACATTAAGCTCGTTCGTCCTACGTTTCGCACAGCTTAGCGAAAGTTCGAAACTCTGAGAAAGAATCGCTAAGAATCCTAGGCCTCAGGGCAATTATGCATACGAAACACCTACATGGTCCAAAGACGTTACCCAGGAGCCTATAAGATTTCTCAAAAAATTTTCGGGATCTTCAGTCAGTTTTCGGTGTTAGGTAATCAGGCAGTACTTAACCAGCTTGGTGCGATGATTATTTCATTGCATTTGCTCATATAAAAGTTAACCGAAAAGGAATTGGTTAATTACTTCATCGGAGGATATACTTACAATCAAAACAGCACCAGAATCGTTACAGCGCAACAGCACATTTGGACTTTGTGATGCAACGATGAGAATGTAGGTACACATTCCAAAGTAGACACAACTCAGCACTGCTATGATCAGTGTTGAAGTAGAGCGGATGAATGGAAACACAAAACAGGTGACTGGATTGGCAATGTTGGACAGGGTGAGAGTCAAATGATAGATGTAGTAGCTGTAAGGAATACAGGCATATGACTGAATAGCTGGTATCACACCATTACTCAGGCCACTGACAACAGCTAAGATAGCCATAAGGAATATGGAATCTTTCGTGGTCGTCTTGTCAGGATCAATGGAACCTTGATTAGATAGTGGATTTGAACCTGGTGAGCTGCCCTGCTCATAAGAGACAAGCTCTAAGGTGGAACGCTGGCCTCCGTCGGGAGAAACTTCGTAAATCGTCTTCACTTGCTGTCGTTTCGCCACAGAGAGATAATTCAATCCCAAAAAGGCCAACCCAGATGCCAACATCATCCCAGCCAAGAACCAGAAAAATCCTTCAGCGGGAAATTTTGGGCCGGGTCCCCAGCTGCCAGAGTCGGTGATGTTGGAGGTTCCATTTGTGGTGTTCACGGGAGCCTGTGTGGGGCTCTCACCGGGGCAAGGGGTATGAGACCCCCCGCCCACACCCTGCCCCAATGCCACCAGACTGGGTATCAGACCACTTAAACCTTCCCCTAGGAAATATGGGCTCATGTAGACTTCTCGAAAGATTGCCATGTATGGTAGGAACGTCACAGACGATGTACAATCAACTACAGAAAGGAAGAAACAGAGGACTAACAACGCAGTGCTTCTTTCAGCTCCGGCGATGAAGGACGTTTCTTTCCAAAAAAATACCAACAGAACACAGGAAACCGTGCCAATAAACAGGCTGATGTATATGACGGGAATCTCGTGGACCATGCGAGGATAAAACTTGTTCCCAAGTGTAAAAGCTAACGGAGCTATGTTTGCCAGTTGGATTATCACTGTCAGGTAGGATGGAAGAGACCAGCTTTCAGGAATTTCTTGGACAATGATAGGTAATTCGACCCAGAGCCCGTTGATGGCAATCCATGAAGCTGTGCCAAAAATGACAACCAATACGTATGTTATAATGGAGATATCGAGGAATGCTTCCTTGATGTGATTCTTGAAGCTTTCCAAGACTGGCATTTTGACAGAATGTTATGCAATCGCTCTCAGATTCCTGTTACTTTGCAGTTTTAAAGTATTCTCAAATAGCACAAACTTATGAAAAGTTGAATAAATCTTGGGTCGGGTTAAGTTGTAGTCGTATATTTAACTGCTGTTAGCCTGTTTACCCTCTTGTAAAGCAGAATTGATTTGATGATGGCGTGAGGCGTCTGTATTATGTTCCCCGTTACGCACTGATTGAATGCAGTGAGTGGCGTGGCTTATTTATGTAATAACATTCTGTTTTGAAAGGGGGAGGGTGGGGGCGGTGGACACCTATCAAACTTGGCGCTATCGTGGTCTGACAAAAAGCTACCCCTCTTGTGTTTTAAATTCACATCTATCCCTCCTTAATTATACTTCACTTAATATTGGCTCTCGATATTTATACCTGATTGAGATTAAATTCTTTTCCTCACCTTCCCCACCCTTTATAAGCGGACGTTTATTTGAATAAGAGGACTATGAACTCTTGCAAGAACTTAAACGTATGAGACTTTGGACCCTTTGATCTCGTTTCCCAAACACCAAATCAATCTAAAACGAGTGAAATCTGTCTCCAGCTAGCAGTTACTGATTAAGTATTTTAAAATCAACGATAACTTTTGATCTTGGCCAGAGCTTGACGAATTAATATTATCAAACTCGTAAATTATTGTTTGCCAAAAAATACTTTGAGAAGATTGTTTTGTGTTTTCAATTCACTTATTCATTTGCCTTCTATTGTTCATCAGAAATTCGTCAAAGAGGCACGGTGTTTACAGTAAAAGAGTAAACTCGACGGATAAAATTCGTGTTTAACACCGTTCGTACTAAAAATAGACAAGCTGTTACTATTTTAATTTTGAACACTTAAACAAAAATCAAACGGCGTGTTATCTTTAGCCAAGTTATTTTACTTGCAAATAGTCTGCGGTAAACAGCTTGTATTGTTTTGGTATGTTATGTAAACAAATGAGGCACTAGCCTTCAGCGCTGTTTTCGAGTAACCACAGTATTCTAAACAAGCTAAAATCCTTCAACAAGGTCTAAAATCGCTCTGAAATACAGGTAAAACGAAAAAGTTTCCATTTTGTTGTGTTATAACTTAAAATTTCAGAAACATTGTGTATATTATGCGAATATAATAACGTTCATCAAAAGAGCTGCTATCAAAATGCTAGTACTTTACTCGTACTTAAATTCGCCGGTACTTGGTTTCACTTTCCTTGCGATTATAAAAAAAATCCGAAATTAAAGCTCCGCGAACATAATGAAAATATTCGCTGAAATGGAGCAAAACAGAGTGTCACTGTGGGAATGGGGTAAGTGTTGTTCATAAATTGACCATACCACCCGCTGTAGAGAGAAAATTAACCATAGACCCAAGCCTCTTCGGCGGCCGTATCCAGTCTTGACAGCGAAAACAAAGGTAATTAATTGACTTATTGGGAGGCTGGGACAGGGTTTTCAGGCAATACAGTACGTGTATTTCTGCATCCAATGCTCCCGTTTACATCAGAATTCCAAAGAATTCTAATGTAAGCAGCTCGATTTAAGGGTCCCGGGGCAAACAAAAAAACTTGACCTGTTCCCCGTTTACGTTACGCGTTCAGATGGTAATTTGTACTGAAGGCTGAGCAGCAAAAATACTTGACCATGGTGGTCCTCGCTTTTCAACGCTACTTTGCTTACGTGGCCGCCATGTGTGTGCTCCTGTACCTACAAAATACCCACAAGCCAAAACGTCTAATCAGATATATAAGGCACTGGGCAGATTTTTTTGTTTACTTTGCAAAAAATTCTGTCAACGTGTATTGTAGACGTGTGCGACCGGCGTGTTTCACCTGGACAAAATTTTCTCCCACTCTACGTAAGTTCAAAGAAGCCGCAACAAAAAATCGGCGAGCCCTCGGAGCTCGCCAATTTTTTGTCAGGCGATGATATCGCACCTTTGTGTTTAGTGTCACAAAATTCATTCACACCTTCCATACTCCGTTAACGCGCGTACATGTATCATGTTCATTTCAAAAGCGCGCCAAACTGAAGAGTTCTTGCATCAAGATCATCTAGCGTGAACAGAGAAAATTTCGCTCGCTTTCCTTGCTAAAGTTTTGATTATTCTGAAAGATTTTTTAATACAAAGGATCTAATACATTCTTAATTAATATCACTTTTGACTGTAATTTTTGACAATCGAGGAGTATCGCAGTGATTTAACACAATGTTGTTAGACATTCTGAAAATGATCTTTGAGAACACATGAACTTTTAGCTATAGCTATATAATTATTATAAAAAATTTCAAGGCCGAAAGACTTTAAACAGATCTTCATAGTAATGTAATTAAAACGCATTCTTTTAGATACCATATGAAATGGAACTCAAGTAGGCCTCAAGGATCTCTCTGATGTTGTCCCCATCTAAAGGAATTTCATCGTTATCTCTTTGATCATGATCATTGTTTTCATCCTCTTCCTCCCACTCATCTCCAAATAATATACAACAGCTATGTACAACTGCACACACCAAAATGATGTTCGAAATTAGCTAAGCTCTGCACTCTTCCATACACATAAGGATTCTCCATCTACTTTTCAAAATTCCGAATGCACACTCGACTTGCACTCGCTCTGGTGATAGCTCCTGGTTAAACCGAATCTCATCCGGATCTCTGGTACCTTCAGGAAGGGGTTTCTGAAGCCACGGAGAAAGAGGATAGGCGCTATCGCCCACTAAATAAGGTTGTATTTCGCTTCCATCGACTCTAGTAGTTGGTCCTGCATCAAGAATGTCTCCATGCTCTGCTTTCTCTCTGCTATTTCTAAGAGCTCAAGCATCATACATGCTCCCGGAAACCCAGCTGCAACATCCATGAAAGCCCTTTTTCCGTTGACAACAGCCTGCACGACAACATCATGTTGGTAACGGCTAAAATAATCGACTGCACTATCCTTTGGTACTTTGATTTTGATGTGGGTGCCGTCAATTGCACCAGCTATATTCGGAAGGCTGGAAAGGGGCGTGAACGTTGCTATAGATGCTGCTGTTGTTTCTGCCACTGTGGTGGGAAACTTAATGTAGTCGTTCCTTAGTTCACACAGCCCATCCACGACGTCCATGAATGCTTCAATTTCTTTTGTTTTTCCAACATTCATAGCAACACCGGCGCTTTCAAATGAGTCTCCGTGCGATAGGCGATAAATTCCAATTGAAAGAACTTTCTGGTTTGATACAGTTTCTTTTTTGTATCTTCCCTTTGAAGAAAAGGACGTAAGATTACTAAGAGGCGATCGAATGTATTTCGTTCATTTTCAATTGACGATAAAAAAAATGCTCTCTGATATAATTCTGCAGTTGAAATTAATCTTGAACCAAGATTCAGCTGGTCGGGGAAGCACCCAGTATGGACGAAATCGACGGCGACGTCATAATGTATTTCTATGATTCATCTGTAGCATTAAAAACACTTTCATTGTAAGAAGGTGAATTTTCCAGTAGCAAAGCAACGTTAGAATTAGCAGTTGTCCTTGAGCGATATTCAATTGCAACGCAAGGAAAACTGCAAACCATCAGAAACATGTTTCTTGGAAGGACCATCTCTGTGTATTTTTTAAATTAATTTCTTTCTGCGCAAGATGCCCGATGTTATGACCTCGGATCTTTAATTTAACGCGCGTCGCTGAAGTGAATATTTAAAGAGAGCAAACAATTTGATTGACGTTTTCAGCATAAAGATAAGATTGTCACTTTCCAGTGCACAAAATTTGTTAAAGCAAAATTCTTCCCGAAATTCGGCCGAGCTTACCACTTTTTGTCGCCTAGCTAGTTCGACCGGCCCTTCAGTTCCTTCTCGACCGCGTAAGCCTTGTCACTAGATGTCCCACAATGCACTAAAACGCTCCCGGTGCTGTAACTCTTCGCCACGTCTGTTTTGTTTGAAATTTGCTATATCAGGACTTTTGCGATAATTTTTGGACGATTTTCAATCCGCTTTTAGTGATTAACTTGCCATAGGCTAAAATTCAAGGATATTTTATTACGTGAAGGAATGGCAGAGAATGAACTTGGAACGTGGTTTCGAGGTATACCTATTGTGACAAGATGGTGGTTCTCTCTGTCCATCGTATTTCCCCTTCTTGGAAGGTTAGGACTCATAAATGGCTTTCACATGATGCTGGACTATGCAAGCGTAGTACACCGTTTCCAGGTAAGCCAGTGTGTTATATGAAAGCAGTCATACGAACGTTAGACAATGGTATTGAAGAGAAATAAAAAATATTACTTGCGAAGATTTATTTAGCATACAGGTGTAGATACAGTACTCAGTTGTAATGACATTTAAAGGGGCGATATGAAAAATCGAAGAAAATCTAATTAACTGCTCCGTAAATTTCTCAATTAATTCGTATTGTATGAAGAATGAACCATTCGCACTCAACCTATTTTTTGATGGTTGTTGTCATTAGTAATCAATTTTTGGCAACTTAGTTTTTTCTCTTTCTATATATGATCAATAGTTATTAGCCGGAAGTTGAAGACAAAAGCGTTTAGAATAAGACATAAATGGCGGATGGGCTTAATTTTTCTGCAAAGTGTAGCTTCACTTGGGTAGGAAGTCTACTTATCACTGTGACGATCAGTTGATTTTGATACAGCTACAAGATTCAGCATACTCCAGAGATAGTGTTGGGAAATTATGTTACTTTAATTTGTTAGTGCAATTTGCCTGGTTTTCCCATGGATATCTGTTGGAGGGAAACATTTTTTTAATCCCTACCATGTGTTGCAGCTGGTGTGAGTTCATGTAATATTTAGTGGGTTTATGGTAATGTACAATTTGTCAAAGATTGAATAGAGTCTACTCGTTGACTGCCCTTGCAAAATATGTCATATGAAGGGTACATTAGCACTGTTGTAAGACCATCAGTAACACACCTGGCTGTGCTTCCTTTGCCTTTTTTTGTTGATTACATATTTTGACGTCATATGTGATTTATTACTGAACATAGGGACAGCAACATGTAATCTACTTTTTGAATGGAGCATTTCAAAGGGAGACACTAATTCTTACAGATCCTTTCTAATTTTCATTCCAGATATGGAGATTGGTCACATCATTTGTATACTACCCTATTTCACCTCAGACTGGATTTCATTATTTGATTAATATATACTTCCTGTATTCATACTCTACAAGACTTGAAACAGGTGAATTATTTTTTTTCACTCTATCAAGTAAATAATGAAAAAGCTGGTTTATGCAGAATCTTGAATTCCTAAAAAATTTAATTGAACTTTGTTGACTCACATTCAGTTTTGGTTGAAATGTGAGAAATATAATTCATAAGTCTTAAGATTGTGGTAAAATCTGCTTAAGGTAGGGAAATTAACTTAAACTACTTGGCCAAAGAAATAACAGGGGTGACCAGAGAGTGTTTGATTTACAGTGGAGACTGTGGATAACTGCTAGTTTACTTAGGGTATTTGGTTTAACCTAGAATATCTAGTATGAAAATTTAAAATAATCTGCAATATTAGTTTAGATTATTGCTTAAAATATATATGTTCTAACCCATTTTTCTTTCTTATCACTTTTCCTTTATCAAATAATCATGATTTATTACATTGCTCAAGAATGAGAAAGTATGGGAATGTGAATAAATAACACTCTCAACTGAGCTCCCTTGTTCAGAACCCTTACACTTCCTCTGCCTTGTGTCAAACTGTCACTGATGTAGGAGAGTTTGCATTTGTTACAGAATATTCTGTAATAAATCTTAGTCCTGCATATAGATTTTCATTTTAGGAAATGCATACTGTGTATGATGCTAATGATATCTGAGCGACAATGATATTAAGCACATAAAAACTAGTCAAATTTTGTCTCCTTATGAATTTTAAGTACCTAAACCTCCTTTTCTAAGAAGCCTATACATCAAAGCCCAGAAGCTTTTTAACCCCCTCATCCCTTCTGCAGACACATTTGAGCATTAACCATATTGTGGTGTATCTTGCATCAATGATAAACTTGTACAGAACTGTGTTTTAACTTCTCATGATCTTACTGCCTCACATTGAATTTGTAGATCAGTGCTTGATGTGAATCTAATGTTATTACTTCTTAAGCATTTTTTCTTTTTCCTTGCAGGCCTGTTTGATGGTCGGCCAGCTGATTACTTGTTTATGATGCTCTTCAATGGGATTATTTTAATTGTATCTTTGTTAAGAAATGACATGGAAGAAAAACAACAAAGAAGAAAATACAAATTCCTAAGAATTGAATATAGAAAATTAAGTTAAAACAAAGGTTTATTTGTGATGTAATCAGTACTTTGACCTCAGCTAGAGTTCTTCCTATTCTCTCTTGCATGGTTGATATTTAGAAATTGGGTATAAAAAGCTATTTTGTGTTAATATTGTAATGTTTGTTTACTGGGTTGAAGTGTTCCTTGACTTGTCTTCATAACTAACAAAAGATCATAGGATTTCTTATGCCTTTGAGGGTAAGTTATACACTTGTTTAACCTGAAAACAGTTTAAACTAAAAGATGTATCCATGGTTACAATCATTGAATACCCTGTAAGGAACATCAATATTAAGTCCTGTTCAAATGTTTGCAATATTTTTAAACTTTTCCTCAATCCTTATAAATCAAAAAAAAAATATTCATAGTGTGAAAAACCTCTATGAACAACACACAATACTCATTTATTATGATCATTTGTAGTGTTCTTCAGCGGTTTGTAACATTTAGATAAACAGGGTTTTCATTGAGAAATGTTTTGGTTGGAGGATAGTGGATAGGAGCAAATTTTTTGCACATCTGAAATAACTGCTTATTGGGCAGTTTTGTGACCACTCTTTTTCACAGCTCCACTACTTTATACTTCAAAGCACACACACAACCTACAGGTTACACCTTTTTTAAAAACACATGATTTCATTGAAATGTAGAAAGTGATTTGTGGGTAGAAGCACAAGTATTCTTCTTTTTCCAATGCCTGTATTTGTCATATTGTATTGTTTGTTGTCCCAAAGCATAATGTCTGTTTTTGCTTTTTAGCTTCTCATGGACCCACTTGTTTTAAGTGTCCTTTATGTATGGTGTCAAGTGAATAAAGATACGATTGTGCAGTTCTGGTTTGGCATGCAGTTTAAGGTATAGATTTCTATTTTCTTTTGTAACAGAATCCTTCAGACTTATTACCCATCTTTAATTTTGACAAAGAATGAAAAAGATAATCATAATGGTGGTTTAAAGTTATGATCTCCAAGGCATTTATTTCTCTTTTGTTTCTCAAATTGTTAAAAAATAGACCTCAAATATACTAGTACATGAAAAACTTGCCATTTAGGTTTTCAAACAGTAACCCTGAAACTTCTCCAACATACCCTGATCGTGTATGTTTTTCCTTTTTCAACAAATTTCAAATGTTCAAAAAGATTTGGAAAGAGCCAGACACCCTCAGCATAAAGTTGACTTGTATGGGGCACTGTTGAATTTAATTTATTTTGTTTCAGGCAATGTACCTTCCATGGGTGTTAGCTGTATTTAACATGGTCATTCAGGGAGGGTATGTATCAGAACTCACTCTGCCTTTGTGCAAACTTCATTTCAAATCCTAAACAAGTTTTATCTATTTTGATTGCAGTGGTATTATGGAGCTAATTGGTATCTTTGTGGGACACCTTTACTTCTTCCTCATGTTCAAATACCCACAAGACTTTGGAGGACAGCGATTTCTCTCTACACCATCCATACTGTATGTAGTCTGGTTGATTTTACATTGTACATTTTCAATTGTACATTTTCAATTGTACATTTTCAATTGTACATTTTCCATTGTACATTTTCCATTGCTTTGTTGGCTTATTTTTTTACCTTGAATGATCACATGGAGGCTCTTTTACTTGATAGATACTTTTATACAAAATACTTCACTTTTTCATCAGATTCTGTAGTTTCCTAAGGTTTGATCTCATATCAGGGGTACTTATGATACTATCACGACTTTTTATTTAATTAACTTGGTTAGATTGAAATATATTGTAGCATAGATGATTTACTATCTCATTGCTCTCGATTCGTATGCTTTCCAGCGATAGTTCCTTTATATAAGTAAGTAATATTCTTGCCAGAGGAGTGAGGTTATTGATTAAACCAGTGCTATGATTCATAGATGTGATTGAATAGAATTTGTTTCAAATAATTTTGTTTGTCATTTCTGTTCCTTTTTATAGGTACAAGCTTCTTCCAAACCGCCAGGGAGGTGTAAGTGGATTTGGTGTTCCCCCTGCAAGCCGTAGGCCACGCAACCAAGACAACGGTGGAGGCGGTGGTGGTTGGGGAGGTTGGGGCCAAGGACATCGCCTTGGCAACGAATAAATCTTTAGGCTACTATGTAGATGGCTTTGATGTTGCAACCTCATTAAGTACATTTTCGAAAGATCAACACCTGAAATTAATTTAAACGTTTGTTTGTGCAGAGCATATGCTTCAATATGTGAGAGCATACCCGAAACATCAAGGAACAGAGAGATTTGCGTCAAGATCCCAGACTTGCTGTGTATATTACACTACGTAAATAAAGTTTTTAGAAGTGTGCTTGCCGTTTTCCCTGATGTAGTTGCAGCTAAGATATGGTCAAGTTGTCGATATTATATCAAGCTAAGTGATGTGGGGGGAAGTCAATTATTCGAACATACTCCGCCCACCTTATGTGAACATCAGTAAGTGTTAACTGTAGGAATAGCATTGACTATATTCGTTACTTTGAACTTTGAGTAAGAAAAAATGTGAGGGGTTATCAGTATTAATATCTGAGAACATTAAATGCGGGGGACACTTCATTTATTGGTTTTATGTGAATGAAAAGCTCGTTAGGTCCTATGACATTAGCAGAATTAATTTCATATGTGATCTGGTTCTCTGTGGGAATGATAGTAATAGCTGGAAAAATAGTCTGACGGTGGAGAGACGCATTGAATTAAGTCGTTATCTTAGTAAACGTGTCCAGTTTCAGAAAGATGTAAGTAGATATTTTTAAAAAAAATTAACTAAATCAAGCTTGCTTTTTGGTTCAATCATCTCGGGAAAAACGAGTTCACGTGTGAGAGGTATGCGATACAAAATAACTTAACTTTAAGGTAAGATCACTCATTTACTCAGAGGCGAGAAGATCTTGGTGCTTACCAACAAGTGCCATTTGCTGTGGTTCGTCGTATTTCATAAGTAACAAGTTGTTCCGTAGTACTCTTCTTTCACTCGTATTGCTCTCTCATAGCTAACTCTTACCTTTCATTTTTTTCTGAGATAGAATGTTTGATGATAAATAATATTAGTGCAACTGTTCTGTTTAGATTTGATTAGGACAGCATTTCTTCTACTAAAAAAGTATTAGATACTACGTCAATTTGATTTCAGGCAGATTTTTCCAGAGATCTTCATTCAAGAACTCCGTTGCGTCTAAGGTTAAAAAATAATCCTAAGCGAAATGTCAGCCTCGGAATATTTGAGATCCCCTGCTGGAGTTTCTAAGATTGCAGAATTTGTAAGTCATTAAGAATAATTAATTGTCTGGAGAATGACTCTCTTTCTCATATGATTTACATAAAATTATGTCATCGATAAATGGAAACATATCTATATTTTACTCCTTGGGGTATAAATTGGAAAAGATGCGACGGAGGGGGGAATGGTGGGAGCAATTAAAAACCACATTTTGTGCGCGATGTTCCCTCGACGAGATCCAAGCCCTTTCGCTTCTCTACAGCATCTATAACAGAGAAAGCATACTTCTCATAAGTATTCCCTCGCTAATACCCCTTTAATATTCTACAGTAAAATACCAGTATCTCGAAATCATCTTATAATAATAATTAGACCCTGGAATTTTTACATCGGGGTCTGATGGAAAATACCTCCTTTAAGCTGTGTTGAGTTCTGAGTTTGACCATTGACTTATTTCAATCATTTTTTCTCAGCTTTTAAAATCTCTTCCCTTTTGTGTAATTGCAGCCTGAAAGAAAATTTAAAATTAAGATGGTACTCCACTCCGGTCGTTGCGTTTTTTTGCCCCCTCAGAGAAGCCATATTTCTGTTTGAATTAAATTAATTTAGAGTATGAAACTATTTAGCTATCATAGTTGAAAGAATTTGACCCGCTTACTTGCACGCACGACTCTTTTACAGATCCTGCTGCTGTCAGCGTTTGTAATAATATCTCTTTACAATAACTTCTTTAAATCAAGAGATGATATGGAGATTTCCCGGCCTGATCACATGGAGAGACTTTCGTTCTTCATGACCTCCACCATCATTCTTTGGTTGCTCGTCACACTGATTTTTGTATTTTCTTTGTTGTCGCTCAGCGACAGAGTCGGGAAAAAATGGAATATTCTGGTGAGTAGATGCTAACCAATTCTTCCGTAGACTCGAATTTCTTTTAGGCTGCACTGACCCTTAACAGAATCTTTTTTTGTTGGGGTGTAGCTAAGGTGGGTCCAGAGGAGCGCTTGATCCCACCCCGCCCCCTTTGATGACAGGTTTTTTTGTTCTTGTTTTTTTGTTCTTGTTTTTTTGTTTTGTTTTATTTTGTTTTTTGTTTGTTTGTTTGTTTTTTAACTAAACAATACGCAAACCTACCAAAAATTCAGAAGGCAAGAATGCACAACACTGAATAGTCTATACGACGTGCAAGCAAAAGCCAGCGTAAATGTCGACACTGAGACAGCGAGGTAAGTACCCTTGGTGTGACTTGGAGAGCCTCAAAAAACCAGCTACAATCCTGTTTTCTTAGATTTGCCACAGTTTACAGGCACCTACTTCCAGGTTGATTTGCATGGCGCTCCGCTTTGTAACGTACGGTTCGCACATGCAACTTCTGTTTCTTCCACTGCCTGTTGATCATACAATAAATCGCATTTATCACAAGTTGAATGGTTTTAGGCCATGTAAATTTCGTGTTTGTAATATTTCGTGTCATTGTCGTAATTATTTTTCGGCTAAATGATTCGACAATCGATAGCTAAAAACCTACTTTTCTGACCTCACAGATACTTAAAATTGTTTTTCTTCTTTTCAGAATATGGGGATCAGTATTTTTAGCGCCGTTTTATTGCTCGTTTCAAGCTCTTTACTGTTGAATGAAGTTACTCACCTTTCTAATTACCCCACCCCGCTTGGGGAAATGAACCTTTGTCAAGCTCAGAGGCATATTGGGAGGCAAACATGTGGGCACCTACAGGTGTCAGCGGTTAGTCCCTTGAATAGGTTTTTTTCTTTCTTCTTCCATTGTGGTCTTTGCGAAGTTAAATTTAACTGAGGTGATATCTCTCAAACAAACGGGTAAACCAAAGTAAATGAGAGGGAAAACAGAACTATTTCTGACATTATATCACCGTCGAGTATTTCAGTGATAGGCCAATGAACTTACTTTGCCTGAAAATACCAGGACGGCCCCTCAGCCCCTCCTTCTCACCCGCCTTCCTCACCCCGCCCCTCAGCCCCTCCTTCTCACTCACCACGCCGCTGATCATCAGATCATTTTCGCTGAAGTCTGATATTAATACGTTAACCTCACCTCAGGTTAGCAGGACCATGATATATATCTGATCTCTCGCTAAAATATTCTCGAAATGTTACACGCAGCTGCTTATAAACAAGAAAACATAAAGACTAACAGGCTTTGTTTATTTTCGTTTTAGGTCTGTGGACTTTCAGCGATGCTTCTCTTTATTGGAGATTTTATTTTTTACTACTTTAAAATGAGTAATCAACAATGAGGAAAAAATGTCACAGCATCGGAAAGTTACTCTCGAGGGGGGGTCGAGGAGGGGTTAAGGTAGGAGGGGGAAGGGGGAGTATGCATGCAATCATTGTTTCGTTTATCAAATAGGCATTGCCTCTTGTTGACAGATTTACTCAATCACAAGACTTGTGATTGACATTAATTCCATAGATTGATTTAAAAGCGTTCTGATTGCGAATTATAAATTTGTTTCTTTTAGATCAAATAACTATTAAAGCTTGGCTTGATATTATACGGTTTGTGGTGGTCATTTGATCTAACCAGTTCCGAGTAAGAAACAATCATTAAGCTAAGAAGTCAAGATATCTCATATTTAAGTTGGAATTCAGACTTTCAAAGTGACATGAAGTAGATCGAAATCACTAAGACTTCGTAATTCGTATTCAGTACAATGTAAGTCGTATTTCGCCTCGCATTTGCTGGTCAGTGTAACTTTTTTTGCTTCAGCCTTAAATCGACTGCGTTCAAAGTTTCTAAGGTCTCCTGACTTCCTGAATTGGTTGAGAATTTTTATTTCAATTTCAATTTAAAGATCCATAAAATTTTCCAAATGGGACGAGATTTCAAGTAAACAAACTTAAAACTCCATGGCCTGTCAGTTTAATATCACATCGTCAATATGTCTTTGCAGCGCTGAAAAACTTATGAAAACATAAAGGGACAGTTATTTACACGAATTCTAACCCAAACCGCGGTTTAACGCTAGCAGTGGGCCTTACGTATTCTCTATAAGGGTGTTGTTTTCCTTAAATTAATGTCCAACCACTGCGAGCTTTCGGCACGGCTTGACATTGTTCACTAAAAAAAGTGTTCAGATGAAAGATTCAGCTAAATTTAAGATAGTGTAGAACGCGGTTTTGTTAAACAACGGCTAAACTTTGTTTGAATAATCGACCCAGTGAGTGTTACATTCTGAAACATCGAAAAACGAGCTTTTCCCAAAAAATGGTTGAGCGCGCGATTATGGAATACACCTTGTTCCGTAGTTTGAAACGAGATGTAGATTTAAAAAATCCAACAGAACCAATGAAATGATGGTTTATTTAAATTACAACTACATTTCAAGCCTACTTATCATCGATCGGTTGTTATTTGTGCGATGTATTTGGCTCTTCGAAATCCGCCTTAGAAGGACATTTATCTTGAAGGTAAATTTTTGTGAGGGGACGGTTTCCCCTGCCCACTGAAAGTGTACATTACCAGAAGCCAATCCTGACATTACACGAGGGCCTGCAATCTGGGACTGTGAGCCATAAATGCAGGTTTAAATGGGAAAGACACGCAGAGCTCGAGATTATGAGTGGAAATCTGTATCGTCTTGAAGCTCAGATTATTCATCGCGTCAGGAACATGGGATTACGCAAGTCCTCCCTGACGGTGTCTACGTGCGGGAGACCGCGACTAGGCCAGCGGACTTCCTCCAGAGTGACCTCCAATGAAATGAAACAAGTTGGGAATTGTTGGGGCGGTTTCTTGGAGGCTTGACACTACTTTATTTCTGGAGTGATCCTTAAAAATACATCTCGAAACAGAGAGCTATGCATCTAGAAATCATTTTCAACAGTCAATTTTTCTGCAAAGTAAAGTGTCTTCGAAGATGACAGAAAGACGATGTAACTTTGGCTTGTATTAAAATTGTGAACTTCTACGAGTACAGTAAACGCTGGGATTTCCAAATTCCGTCTACTTCTGGCAGAATAGTGATGGATCAGTTTCGAGCCAGGCTTCTCTCTGTCTCAAATGGAATAACAAACGACGAACTGGGTCAGTTAAAGTTTGTTTGTAAACAGCATATTCCTGTCGGTGTTTTGGAGAAGATTGCCCGCCCGCTTGAATTGTTCGATGAGCTAGAAAACAGGAACCTATTGAGTGAAGGAAATACGGAGCTTTTGGCAGAACTGTTATCCGAGATAAATCGCTTTGATCTCAAAGATGAATTACACGGTGTTAAAGGTTAGTAAGCTAGATTTCACCTTTCTAATTGTAGTCTTTTTGTTGAACAGTCATCAAATTTGTGGGAAGTACAGCTTCCATTTGTAATTACGTTGAAAATTACTAAGTAACGATTTACGGAAATTTCGTGTATTAGTACACTGCGCCTTCATGTAGTTGGATTCTCGCAGCCCAATTTGCTAACCACGTTTAGTATGATTATAATTCGCTATTAAGCCTTTTGATCCATACTTTAAGAGGGCAAAAATCACGATATTCTTTTCACTTTGCTGACCTGTTGTTAGATTGAATAAATGGAGAAACAGGTTGAGTATTCGGCCGAGAAGAAAAGTTGTACGGTATCTATCATGATTGGTTTTCCAGACTGAGACAAGAAAGAGGCTATGCTACAAATGCATGTTGTTTTTTTTCATTTTATGAGTACAATGGGTACTGAAAAAAAAATGCATAAACTAAAATAAACTTATCGAAACATTCAAACATCTCTGATTTGTGCATACATAAGAAACTCAAATTGAGTAAAATGGGGTTTAAATTTTGACTTTTTTGTTTAATATGCAAAGCACAGTTATATATCATATACACTAACTGACTAGCAAGGGGGCTGTCCAGGCTTCCAATTGAAGTCAACAGTTTCATACCTGCAAAGCTATGGCTGACAACAATAGCATTGGAGAAAGACATTTTTTTGTCTTGTCGTGAGGATGGGACAAAGAAAAAATTCTGAGTCCCCATAAGGAATTGCACTTCAGACCTTTGGTAGCATTTGCTCTGTTCCCCTGTGTTTCAAACGTTTTCGCTTCATTTATTGTCTATCAGCCATGAATAACTCGTCTAAATGGATAACTATGATGTCTCAGTTAATAATAGTAATAGTACCGAGTGGAGTCCAATTTGGTCTGTAATCATACAAGTGATTAACAAAATCAGACAACTGCGAAGCAGGAGGCTGAATTATCAATCACAAGTATGACTAAAGACAGAATTGGATGACATAAAGTCCTTTAACCAATTAATCATGACTGTTACAATTTCCAACAACAACAACAAATACATTTAGAACAAACACATATAGTAGAGACAATGTCTAAAAATTCCTCAACTTTGGAAATTCCACAACTTTTTTAGGATAAGTGGTTGTTGCTATGGTTATTGTGATCAATTCTGTGATTGGTGGATTTGACTGAAAGGACTAAGTATGATTGGCTGCTTCAACTGTCCAATTACAGTCAACTGTCTAATTACACAGTCTAATTACAACTCTACAAAATGATTAATGAAAAATAAAGCAGCTAGTCTGCACCATTCACCTTTGAGGAAATTGTAATGGTAATGATTGTATTCAGATTTGTTCTTTTAATTAGTTATGTTTTGTAATTTTTTATTTTTTTTTTTTAGTGAAGAACAGATCAGGTGATGCAGTTTTACATCATATGCAAGAATCCCTATGGGATCATTATCAGAAAAACATTGGTTGGATTCAGCCAATCTCCTGGAATGACTCATTCCAGATTCACATAGACCACATTTACACCAATTTGGAAATCATATCATTGGTGTCACAGGGTAGAAGGTGTATTCAAAATCCCTTGGATTCTTACCCCATGATGTTTTGTAGTCGCCCTGGATGTTCTAAACCAAGACGAATACTGGTGGAAGGTGAAGCAGGTGTGGGAAAGAGCACATTTCTGTGTAAGATTGCTCATGATTGGTCTAGGTGTGATGGCAAGGTACTGCCGTTCACAGTTGTAATTCTCATCGAGCTGAAGCAAATAAAGGGAAGTTTCAAGGACGCTATCATCCAGCAGTTGTTTCCTTCTGATTTTCCCATTCCAGTGTCTCAATTGCTTAGTTACCTTGCTTCCCATCAGAGAGAAGTCCTTTTTCTTCTAGATGGTTTTGATGAAGCAAACTTGTCATGCCTGACTCACCTCCAAGACATTCTGAGTGGAAGAATTTTTCGAAATTCCTGTGTTGTTCTCACATCAAGGCCAGGTAAAACCACACATATCCAACGAATGATGGACACACGACTGGTTATTACAGGATTCACCACTGAAAACATTAGAAGCTATGTGCTAAAATATTTTCAAGATGATGCTAGTACTGCTGAGCTGTTGTTGTCTGAACTGGAAACACACCCAGTCATTGAGGACATTGCAAAGGTTCCCTTGACAGCCATGCTGATATGTGCTCTGTGGGAGGATGCCCCAGACACTGCCTTTGAAGCTCTGTCTACACTTACAACTCTTTTTACAGAGCTAATTTTACTCATGGTAAAGCGATACTTTGCCAAGAATGCTGCAGGTGGTGAGGCTAAAGATGGGGTGTTCACTGACTTGGAAGATATCCCCAAGGATCTTTATAATGACCTGCTAGTTCTAGGAGAGATTTCTTTGAATGCTTTACTTGAAGACAATCTCCTGTTTGATGTGCAAGCATTGGAGAAGAAGTTATCTAACAAAACTGTCTTTGAACTTGGTTTGTTGTCACAGGAGACAAGCACTTCCAGACTGAAGCCAGTGCAGAAGTGCTGCTTTGTTCACAAGTCTTTCCAAGAGTATATGGCAGGATTGTGGCTAAGTCGTGAAATTAATTGCACTGCAAATGATCCATTAAGATTGAAGAAAGTCCTTTCTCTAACCTTGAAATGTGTTACAAAAGTCTCTGACTCTCTTCTACTAAATTTTGTTTCTGGGCTTGTTGGGGACAACTTTGAGATTGTGTTTGTACCCTTGCTTGAAAATCTCAAAGAAACCGTCAACACTTCTGACTCTTGTGAAGCAAATGACTTCCTTGAAATGTTTGTTCTTGCTCTGTTTGAGTCCCACCAGGGCCACCTTGCCAGTAAATTGGGGGCAACTCTTCTTGATGGAATCTTGAAGTTATCTGGTCGTGATATCAGTCCTTATGGTGTGCGAGCTATGACATATTTCATGCAAAACAACCCTGACCTCAAGTCATTTGTTCTAGAACACAGTCAGCTAGAAAAGCAGACTGCTGCCTTTTTTGCAAATTCTCTTTCACAAATGC